GCGGAATGAAAAAAAAAAAAGGTTGTTTGATATGGCTGGTACTTGCTCTCATTTCCTATAACGGTTATTAGAAAAACTTACTACTAGTGAAGTGCTGAGAATGACTTAGAGGTTAACATGTCCGGACAATAAATCTGAGGTATGGTTTCATGGTTCGCGTTCCGTTGGCGCAAAAACACACTTCATACTGTAAGTTTAAGAGTATATTATACGAGTGACGGTCAAATCATCGTTTTTGACCAAAAAAAAAAAAAGAATAACCTAAAAATTGATTGTGAGTGCTTGTTGACTATATCTACCTTCCCTCTATTCCATAAATTCAAAATTAAGAACGGGTATGCAGAAATAATCCTTGTGAGCTTCGCAATCTGCGGGTCGCGGGTTCGAATCCCCATCCCACCAAACATGCTCGCCCTTTAAACCGCGGGGGCGTTATAATGTGACGGTCAATCCAAATATTCGTTGGTAAAAGAGTAGCCCAAGATTTGGCGGTGGGTGGTGATGACTAGCTGCCTTCCCTTTAGTCTTACACTGCCAAATTAGGGACGTCTAGCGCAGATAGCCCTCGTGTAGCTTTGCGCGAAATTCATAACAAACAAACAATATAATAAAAATATTATGTCTATCTACTGTTAAAACTTACTTAGAATGATGTACTGGAATCTTAGGAGCAGAAATGCTTTTATATGATGTCTAATTTAATATTTAGAAATGTAAATAGAGATTACACGTTTAGTGCACGTGATTCAGATCACTATGGAACGTCATAGATCAAATTTATTAGCTACATAAAAGTATAATAAAATTGTATCCTAACACGTGTTTGTGTATTTTAAGAAAATGATTAATTATGCTTTAAAGTGATATTAAAACTTGAAAAAAAATCGTATATGCATAGCATAGTAGTAGAAGTTTAAGAATGTGATAACTGTTGATCTTCAGAAAGGGTTCCATTTAATTATTTGATTTTGGTGTGTGAACAGCTAATTTTTAAAGTATATGACCATAGAAGTTAAAAACGTTAAAAGCTAGTCCGATTAAAAAAAACCCAGTGGCACAACGACATGTCTGTGGATTTCTAATGTTATAAACAGATAGCCCAATGTTTAGCTTTGTGCTTAACTTCAAAGAGATTAAGAACGTTTTTAAGTACTAGAATAAGTTCAAAGTGAAACTCGAATTATTCAGCTTTTATATTTAGGAATTCAACAACGAACTACTTTAACAATATAGGAATTAAAAAAAACAAAAAAAAACTAAATAATTCCTGCCAGTTTTCTCAATAACTTCATAGATGGCGCTATGTTATTATATATGTTCTTTTAATATCGCTACAAATTAGTGTTCCAGATATTGTGTTGATTGTTCTTTCTACAAAGTTTATGCTGTAGCCATTGACAATAAATAATACAAAATTGTAATATACAAAATAATGTACTAAAACTTTATAACATGGAAAAACTGTACAATGACTCATGTTTTCCCATATTCCTTAAATGTGTACGTATTATTTCATGAGAGACATGCAATTTCAGGGCTATTTCGCGAGTGTGTTGCCTTTGGTTAGACTCAACAAGTGTCTACAGAGCATCAATATCAATTCCAACATGCCATCACAGTTTTTAAGACTCAAGTTACCTGAACAAACTTTGCTGAACCATCGTTGACGCTTACGAACGTTCAAAGCATTTCCATAAACTTCTTTGATATTATTTGTGGCTACAGAGGCGTTGTTTCCATTCTTGTATTCAAACAGCATTACATGCCGAATGTGTGTCTCGTCGTGTGCTATCACTATAAGGGATTAGAGTATACTAAACTCTACACATTATATATGCTACACTAACGTGACGTTTAGGCGGTTCGTTTAAGTATTATACGTGATGTATGTTTTTTTTTTGGGGGGGGGGTTAATAAAAGTGTTCCAAAACGCGACATTAATTTCTTGACGACCTAATATATATATATATAGAACCTGTGTTGGTGCAGTGCTTTCGAAACAAACTTTTAGTTTAAATTTATTTTATTTTTTGGCTTTGAATATCAATTCTTGGAAGTTAAGTGTTGTAATATTTCAAATAGCTCAGAGAGACAGGTCCACTAATAGGCGCAGAATACATTCAGTTTGTTTGTTTTAGAATTTTCACGCAAAGCTACATAAAGGCTATCTGCGCAAAGCCATCCATAATTTTGAACTAACAGACCACGTGAAAGGCAGCTAGCTAATCAACATGCCTATCGAAAACTTCTGGACTACTCTAATGCGAACAAATAATTGGATTTGACAGTCACTCTTATAACGCACTCATGGTCCTAAAGTGGGAAGTCGTTTATGCGGAAACGGGCCATGAAACATGAGCAATGGGATTCACGGTCAGAGCATGTGACCAGTGAATTATTGACAAAACATTAATACCTATTTGTGTGTTGTTAGATTAAAATAAATACACATTAAAAAGTAGTTTATCTACTGTTCACAGGAATTAATCCAGCTATTTGAAAAGTATCACAATAATCTTTCTTTTTAAAAACCTTGAATTTGTGAGAATAAAAACTGTATGCAATGCAAGGCTAGATCGAAAATTTTCAGTTAGGGGAAAGAAGCGATTTTTAAATAAGTTGATCACCGTAAGCACTCCCCAATCTCTAACATTTTGCATACAAAAACACTATTTTAAAAACGTTTCTGATATGTTTAGTATTCAAATACCCTGACATATGTAGCATTTTAAACAACTCATACAAATATTACTTGGCGAAAAATAGGAGCTCGTGCTGAGTGGCCTTCCTCCTTGAATCCGTCCATATACTGTGATGTTTTTTACAGATGTTGTTTGCGTAATTCAAATATATGTATGTATTTCATAGAGCATAATATCACCTATTTTTATTTAAGAAATTTTGAAGAAAAAATGACGCATTTTTAAATTTTACTTTATGAAAATCCATGAAAATCTTTCGTTGGTGGAAGGAGATAAAAATGAGTCAGTGAGTATTACATTAGAAGTGTTTTAAGCCATCAACAATAGTTAATAGCTATTGAAAAAGTTTTCCTGCTATAGATTAATTCAATTGCAGATGTCCTCGTACTGAGTACAGTTAAGGCTTGCTAGTTGATGTAGTCGTACAAGTAATTTCACACATAACTGGCAGTCTTTTTTTTTCATCCAGCGTTTGACTTATAATATAAAAAACGTACCAATGTGGTGTATCTTATGATTCATTTTTCACGTTTTCTCTGGGTATTTGGGACAATGCGTTGTGTGAAATAGCCAGAAAGCATATTGTAAGCTTCCAATAAATTATCATTGAATATAAAAAGTATTCAAGATGTGAAAATATAGAGATAACTAAATATGTATTTCTTCGTATACAGACTTTTGTTAATGGTTAGTTACCGAATTGATCAAACAACTGAATGGAATTCCCCGAAGTGATGGGTTTTATGAAGATTTATCAATTAAACAAAGCAAGCTGAAGAGATAAAATATCATTTCTAAGTCGATCGGACGCCCCCCCCCCCCCCGACGTCGGCACAGCGGTATGTCTGCAGACTTATAACGCTAGAATCCGGGTTTCGATACTCGTGGTGAGAAGAGAACAGATAGCCCATTGTGTAGCTTTGTGCTTAATTACAAACAAACAAAACAAGTTGATGGAAGATTACCCAATTTTAAACGAAGCAAATTACTAATAAATGTTAATTTTATATTTGCATTGAGCTTAGCTAGAACTTAACTTTCAGCATATAAGATTCGACAGACTATATTTTTATAAGTTCCATGTTTTCTAGATTAAAACAAAATACATTTTAACATCTTCATGAAATAAAAAATATAAAAATATGAAGATAGTTTAAATATTGTTAATAGGTAAAAAAAGATGAAGTTATATTACGAATAAATATATTATTTAAATAAAACTGTTAATTCATGACCAGTGTACTTCAGCAGATGTAGTTCACGTTTTTAATATTGTGAGTATTTATGAAACGCACAGGTGACATACATATAGGAATAATGAGTAACTGTAACTAAATGGACAAGTTATCACTAGCATAATACATTATTACAGAGAAGAGAAAAGCAAAGTAAATAAGTATTAAGTTGAACAATGCACTAGTATCTTGTATTTGTTTTAAACAAAGCATTACGCCATAATATTATCATTGTACGAGTGTGAAATATTGTCCAAAATATCTTATATTTACTCACCACAGTTCAGTCAAGTTGCTTGGTTGCTTATCGACCTTTTAATTTTTTATGTACAGTCGTAACATTAATATCTAGATTTTGTGCAGGCCAAGCCATGGCTGTGAGTATTCCATAGGCCTCTTTTTATTTCTGCGTATTGTTTCACCATATTTGTTTACATGCTTGGGATCACTGTCTTGCTGGAAGATGAATCTTTGCCTAACAGGTCTTGTTCTTGAGGGAATGACATGATGGATAAGTAGTTGCTCGTACCAGTCGGTAGTCAAAGTGCCATCAGTTTTGTGTAATCTCCAATACCATTGGTTGAGATGTAAACAACACTTGTCTTCTATCATGCTTCACTATAAATGTTGTACATTTACTATAATAATGTGCTCTGTTTTGCCATAAAATAAAAAAAACAACAAAAAAACTGTTGTTGACTGTTACCAAAAAGTATGAATTTAGATTAACCTGTAAAGAGTGTCCTCTTCCACTTTTGTTCATCCCATTGTTTGATGCCCATTTATGACTTTAACATGTATACTTACACTTAGGTCATTAACTGGATTGTCATGTTTCATATAAAGAGCATGCCCTGAATTACTTAACCTCACTTTTGAAGAGTTCTGGATTTCTATCGCGACTGCTTCTATTAGTAACAATACTAATTCCTCGAAATATGAGATTTCGTTTCAATATGTCATATGAAATATCCTCCATCAACAGAACTTTTATTTCTATATGTTTGACACGTGGCAATTCTGTCCTGAGTGCATTAACCACACTACTGCTGTGAAATGTGTTTGACTGTGTGTGCTTTTATAGGCCTTATGCTGGCTAGGCATTCTCTGATTGGGTGAATGACAGCCAACCACAATGTAAATTATCATCACGCGACTATAGTCTGGTGCACTTCCTTTTCGTACAATAGAAGAGGATCAGTTCACATCAGTTTTATTTACCATATCACTATTATTTTAAAAAAACATGTGTATATATATTAATATCTAGAAATATTATATATTTTCGCACAGTTGGCTGCACACAATAAAATGTGGTAAGGATGTGGGACGTTGTGGGCTTGAGCACCAGAATCTGTTTTCTGATCATCATATTTTTTATTTTTGCACTTTGTGAAGCAAGCGAAAGAGGTTAAGTTTGGTAGACCCCACCGATATATGGGCCCTACTTCTGCAGTTGCAGTTATCTTCAAAATAAGGCTACGCTTTATATATTTTCCTGGCATGTAACATGTACCCTGGTGTTATTTACAATTCCGTTGCTGCGATTTGTTTTTCCCGTGGGGAAATATTTTTTGCTATATTTATATTCACACATATATATATACATGTACACAATCGAAAAAAAAAACACATTAAATATTAGTTTACTTTGATAAATTCGGTTTGATGAAAGTTATTTGATATATATGAATAAACAGTGTTATGTGGTTTAAAAAAGTGAAAAGATGCGTGTGGGTGTGTATGGGTTGAATATTGTACTATCTTTTATTTGAAATTTTATAAAAAGTTCCACATAGCTTGTTAAGAATTGACTTTGGGTAAATACTTTAACAAGTTAAATTTTTTATTTGTCATCTAAACACACATACATATAATCTGGATCAGATATCAGGCTTGGATTGGTTCATTTATGACAAAGTTACAAAGACTATCTATCGCCGTCCTTAAATACAAACTGTCGACCAAAGAGAAGGCAACAGGCCGGTACCACTCACCCCAACGAACAGAGGTATTGACCATCATATTATAACTTCCTTACGGGTGAAAGGACGAGTATGTTCGGCGCAGGGATTTGATCCAGCGATCAGCAGATTGCAATTCAAATGTTTTAACCATCAGGTCTCGATGTGAGGTACATTTCTCAAATCCAGTATTACGAAACGTATACCTTATTACGAAGTTAACTAAAACCATTTTACTTAGCTATTCTTGGACAGTGTTTTCAAAAACAGCCATGTTACAAACTTTTCTTGTTGTACAATAGCAAATTTGCAAAGTTCTCATCAAATTATATTCTGAAATACAGCCATTATACTAGAGTTGGATATTTCGATATACAATTTTGAATATTACTTTGTGAAATATTATAAAACGATACACGGAATATATGATATATATCCTTTCAAACAAAACAGCAGCTAAGCCTAACTTGTCATTTGTTTTTCGAGTTTTAATCCACTACTATTTGAATGATATAGTTATATTTGTTATATTCCTACATACTACTAGTGTCTGATATTAAAATACGTTTAGCTGTTAGACAAACTTACCAAGCTGTACGTGTAACCGAAGTACTTGCTTCACTGTTTATCCATTCTTGTACCACTGGCTGAGATATAAACATACACTTGATGAAGAACGAAACTTGACACGAAGACGCTGTGGCGAATGGGCATGACGTAACTAGAAAATCGTTTCTCCAAGATAAATTTATCGTCAGCATGGTTTTCCTTCTTCGTTCCGTTTCTTGTTACTTTTATTTACTAGCTATTTTCGCGTCAACTTTCCGAACTGGCGCTAAAGATATCACAATGGACGTTTTTGCTGCAGAATTTCAAACCTTGAAGAACAAGATGTCTGATATCGAGGGTAAGGCAACCAACCAGATCGTGACCTAAGGTTATCAGCTACTGTAGCATTAACGTTATCTTACGATAACTTGTATTATTTTGGAAGTTCTGATGTAATTCTTATATACGTAGAAGTTAGCTATGGATGTTCATAAACCTAAATAGAATGTTAAAGTTTAGTAATCCGACATTTTCATTTTAGGAAACAAACTAATTTAATTCCGATGACGAGGAACCCATTTTGAGACTAATAATGGCTTGAATGGGTAATGAAGAAAAACTTTAATATAAGTTTAACATAACAGCAAATGTACAACGTTTCGACAAGGTTTTCTCATCATCAGGTACCCATTCAAGCCGACTCCAGCCATTATTAAACTAATTTATTGTTTGGGGTTGCTGTGTAGGTATATATATATATATACAATGTTATTATACAAAATTTAAAAGGCGAACAAATATTGTTTTATCAATATACCGTTTACATGTAAAAATAGACTAATATAATTCATATATAAAAGAGTTATGAGACTTTTTCAGTGAGATAATTTGTTACATTTGTTGTCCTGCTTCGCAGTCTTTATAACACTGTTTGATATGCAGCACCGACATACGACTATACTGGCCAAGAGAAACGTCTGTTTCCTGTCACAGATGTAAATGTTTTATTACAAGGCAGATCATCACGTTCACACATACACGGCGTTCTCCAAGCTAATTTATTGGTCTAAAACGTACGAAAGAAAGGCCAGTCGTGGCTTAGTGGCAAGTGTGCCTGGACTGTGAATCCGAAAAGGTGCTACAAAAGTGACGGTCAAATCCCACTGTTCGATCAGACAATAGTTGGTGGCGAGACCTGTTGAATAGCTAGTTACGTACCTTCGTGTCTGTTGGTTCAAAATTAGGGACGATTATACGCATTTAGTCCTTATGTAATTTTGCTCAAATTTCGGAAACAAAGAATGAATTATACACAGAGCGTTTGTTTTTTATATAAGTTTGTTTGTTTGTAATGATGCACAAAGCTACACAATGAACTATTTGGGCTCTGCCCACCACGGGTATCGAAACCCGGATTCTAGCGTTGTAAGTCCGCAGACATCCCGCTGTGCTACTGGGGGAGGGGGCGTTTTATATAAGACTTTGAGTAATTGTATTTGCAATTATTATGACATTAAGCAAAAGTTTCATTTCTAAATATATCTATAAGCTACTTCTGATGTCGAAATGTCGCAGTATCGCAAAAAATGGTATATTCGTATAATATCCATGTTATGCCCGATCAAATAATTCTTAACTCTCTTTTTTCCTTGATGCAGGACAAATGGAAATTTTTACTTCCCTGTACACTATGAATCTGGAAAAAAAGGTGACAGCGATGGAAAGCAACATAAAGAAAATGAGTGAAAAGGTTGATGCTCTTTATGATCACATTTTTGCCAGAGATGCGACTGACAAATCATCAGATCAACTAACGATCTTCTTCCAACATATTTCTCAACAGCTAGAAAAGCTTCTGGAACAACCGGAAAAGCAGTCACAAACAGATCTCAGGGAAAATGAAAGCAGACTGAGAATTCATAGAATCGAGGAAAATATTTACGGTTTATTTCAAATTTTTAGTGCTTTAAACATTAAAGTTGATTCTTGCTACCGTGTTGCAAAAGGGCGTGAAAAATGCATAGACAGAGAACTTTTAGAGACATGGCTCAAAGATTTCATGATTCAAAGCAGAACCGCAGGTAAAGATGATACGAATACTGAAAATGTTCTAGAAGGAGACAAGATGGACCTTTTTATTGAGAAAATTAGCCAGAAAGTGGAAAATATGATTGAAAAACTACCATCTGAGAGAGTAATAAATGTTGAAGACATTACAGACATTGTTATAAAATCTTTGGAAGGGTACGTAGAACTTTTGCTCAGGAAAACTCAAAATTGTTCTTTGGTATCACGGATAGATAAACTCTTAGGGTTTCTAGAAACATCCACAGGAACTTCGGAAGACAAATCTCCGACAATACAATCCTCATCCAGCAACTCCAAGGACCAGGCATTAGCTGATGAAGGAAAAGATTACGAAGACGAAGAGATACAAGGAGACAAAGAACCTGGTAAAATTTTTAGGAGATTCTGGAGAAAACTTACAGAACCGGTAACAGAACTGAATAAGAAACTTGAGATTATTGAAGTGAATTTTTTAAATAAAGCTCGGTTGCTTCATAACCAGACAATGACGACAATGATGCAGTGGTTTGCGAAACAGAGTTGGGCAGCTGCAAAGCCTTGTGTAGATAAGGTCCAGGTCATCGAGGAAACAGCAGAAGCTCTTCACGAGAAGCTGAGATATCTAAAGTCGTCTCAAGATTCCACAGCAGATACCTGTAGCGCTATCCACAGTGAAGTTCAGTACGTTCGAAGGCTGCTAGAGACACGCTACACAGTGGACAGAACAGTGGATTCAACTACAACCGGACAGAACAAGATCGATCATACTCCTCAAGACTGCTCTGACCTACAGATGAATGGAGCAATGCAGAACGGTATTTACATGGTACGGCCTTCAGGTGTAGAAAATGAATTCCCTGTGTACTGTGACCTCCGTACAGATGGAGGAGGCTGGACGGTATGTATCTAAAGTAAAAGAGACAGATAGTCGTGTGATTATATATTATATAATTAACAAAGAATATATAATCTAATACGTGAATATTTTGGAAATAAACATAATTAAATTGATCTATTTCGAAAATGAATACATGAAGCAGAGAGAATATGGTCAACTTTCGTGGTTACCATTACAACAGCGTAATTATTCCACGTGTACTTTCATCTTACTTATAATCATAGGGTAAAATATTTTGAAATGTAAGAATCATCAGTAGTACTTACATTCAAAACGAAATAAAACACAGTAAGTTCTCTTCAGAACAGCTATACAAGGCATAATTATATTACTGTATTTCCATGTCAAGGCCAGGTCAAATTCCTCCCATGCCGAGATATTGAACTCCAGCTTAACGGGTACAAGCGGATGATAATAATAATACGGGATGAAAGTCCATTGCAGGTTAACCCGCAGTTAACGGTTTATACCCTTTATACTATTTAGACAATAGCTCCAACGATAGTAACTGTTTACAACTTACTGAAGTAGCTTTAGTTTCAACTAATACTGCTATATAATACGAGTATATCCCCTTTACATGGCCAGCTGAAAAGTTGAGTTTTAACAAATATCTGATGTTACCATACAGTAAATATATAATGTGTTAACCATCTGTCCATTCAGAATCCACCTTTACACCCAATAAATGAAACAAATAATTTATATGAAGAAAATTGCGATGTGCACCTATGCTTTAAAATGGCCATTTATGAACGTGGAGATACGTCAGCGTGGTACATAGGGTTCGCGCTTTGGATTCCCAATTAGGTGGTTGGAAGTTCGAGGATGACTCGTAGCATGATGCTGTATCCTAGAATAAGGCACTTTAACCCCATCTGTTTTTGTCTGCTTCTCACTTTTCGTTGCACATGATTAGCTGCTACTATCTGGAGACTTATGTTTAACTACTATTTTCTATTAGCGCTTCAACATGTTATGTCATAGACAATATACAAGTATTTCACATATGTATTCAGTACATGACGAGCTATTAATATCTACACACTTTTGTTTATCTAGTTTCTTTATCTTGATGCATATAATATGTACATTTCACGGTTATATTTTAGTCTCACACGAATGCAGTGCTCTTACTATACACCAGGTTCTTATTACGCGCACCTTACCCCGTACACATTATTTGGTGTGTAAATGGGCAATGGTTTGTGATCAGTTAGCTCATTCGGAGCAAATAATGCCTGGCACGGCCATGTAGTTAGGGCGTTCGACTCGCAATGTGCGGGTCGTGGGCTCAAATATTGTTACCGAACATGTTTGTCTTTTTTTTTTTTTACTTATTAGGTTATTCAGAGAAGGGGAGACTTTGGTGAGCCTCGACAAAACTTCACTGAAGACTGGAAGGCCTATAAGGATGGTTTTGGTGATCCTCTTCAAGAATTTTGGATAGGAAATGAAAAAATATACCTCTTAACAACTGCCAAAGAGATGAAACTAAGGGTAGAACTTCAGGACTTTGATAACAACTACGCCATTGCCGAGTATAATCGGTTAGTAGTTTCAAGTGTTAACCCTTTCGCTGCGTTGTTCGTTGGGGTTACGGTATGATCTCTATTTGTATGTGCATGTGCGCTGTGCAGTAGATTCTACGGTATAATATTAACCCACCCCTATATCCCTGGACAAATGTATTTGCCTTGGCAACGCATCTAATGCATCCTAGGAAATCCCCAAGTTCTATTTTACATATTGAAAGTTTAAATAAATGTAAAAATTGACTTTTGATAATTCAGAATTTAATAAAAGTTAGTAAACATAGTCCTTGCAATGAAATCCATTACGTAATTCAGACTCATTGAGATAAGTAAACATTAAATGATATGTCCCAGTGAGGTGAGTAAATAATAAACTTTCCGTTCCTAGATTTTGTGAGGTGAGTAAACAATAAATTATCTGTCTCTAGATTCAGTGAGGTGAGTAAATAATAAACTTTCCGTTCCTAGATTTGTTGAGTGAGTAAACAATAAATTATCTGTCTCTAGATTCAGTGAGGTGAGTAAATAATAAACTTTCCGTTCCTAGATTTGTTGAGTGAGTAAACACTAAATGATCTGTCTCTAGATTCAGTGAGGTGAGTAAATAATAAACTTTCCGTTCCTAGATTTGTTGAGTGAGTAAACACTAAATGATCTGTCTCTAGATTCCGTGAGGTGAGTAAATACTAAACTTTCGTCCTAGATTTGTGAGTGAGTAAACACTAATGATCTAGTTCTAGATTCAGTGAGGTGAAGTAATATAAA